CTTTCTGGCTCACTTTTGTTATCTGAAAGTTCTCCTATGACCCAGGCTGGTTTGTGTGTGTTCAGGTTGATATCCATGACATGACTGAGTCGCTCCGAGTCCAGGTTACACCCTGCTCCGATCACATGTGTTGGAGGCAAGCCACTCTGCCTCCAGGCAACGTGGGCCATGATGTCCACTGGAGAGAGAGAGTGAGTGACCATACGTGAGTTATATAATGAGCCAGCTGTCAGTAGAAGGCGTGTCTGCTGCTGTTACCGACCTGGTTGTGATGCAATTAGCATCACTGCGCTAGGGCTGAGACGTGCCAGATTGGGAATTATTCCTCTGTACAAGTCAACGTTGGTCTGTACCACGGTGACATACGACTGTTCACTGCTCCATGCGTTTGCAGTCACCACGACCACCCTGGAGCCTGCAGAGGCGGAGATATCTAGCACAGCAGAGACGATGGTAATTAATTCCTGCAGACCTGTCACAGCAAAACTTGTAAAAGAAAAACACAAAGCTTAGGCATTGTTAATTCAGCAAACATTGACTGTGGCATTCCCATTCTTGTTCAAATGTTTTCTTTTCCCTCTTTCCTGATGAGTCATCAAATATGCCCTCTACACAAGCACAGGGCCAGCCCTCTCCCTTCTAATCAAACTGACATCACTGGTGACTCAGCAAAATAGCACCTCTGGGTTATTTGATGGTGCAGTGTGACGTACCTCTGGATACTTCAACATTTGGCAGACTGAAAATCTCCAGATCTGTACTGCCACCCTTGGTGGAACTCTCAGCGACGTCAATGAAAACCAGTTTATCCACTTTACACTGGATGAAAAGCAGATAACAAGATAAACCACTTATGAATAGTGAAATAGGAATTGCTAACATCTGAAGCTGGTGAAATAATAATTGTATGACATAACAGTTTATTAAAAAAAATAAAAGAAAATCAGGTGATTACCTTGGATAAAATGCTCATCACTGATGCCATTCCTAAATCTCCTCCCCCAATAACTGAGACTTTGTTGATTGGTTGACCGTGATGGCTGATTCCACCTGAAATTTAGTAAAGCCATCACTATGAACTACTTGTCTCATTAGTGATCATCAATTATAATAAAACTATATATTAGGAGTTGCACCATCACTGATACGGAAATTGGAGACAAACGCCAGGAGCTCATGGGGATCTTTGTTGTCTGTTGTGGTCTTTGAGGACAATGGAGGGTCTTCCTGAAATTTGGTAACCATCTCATTCAGAAGACCCACCACAGATGACTTTGGCTGTTACAGAAGAAACGAAACAGCAACATTTCAGCACCTTGTCCGCTTTTAATTTTAAATTTCAACCACACAGTACAAGATCTTACATGATCCCAGTTGTGAAGGCCAGGTAGGTGGATACGTCCATGGGCATCAACGTGCTTGCCCTCTCTGATGACCATGTTAGAAGTGGGTTTCAAGTGACATATGGGAGGAGTGAATGGGAAGGAGTCCAACAGCCACAGCTGAATGGGGAAGTTGTAGGAGCGACCTTTGGACAGAGACACCTCAATCAGTACAAAATTAAGACCTCATGCTCAAATTAGTGATGCTATTAAATTATACAACTCTTTCT